GATTAAAATAGCTCCTATGTATAAAGTAGTCTGTATGTAATATGCATTCCAATAAGAACATGATTGTTACTATATTGATCCCTTGTTTTCAGCCTTAAGCTTCATCCCTGCAGCCCCAGTTCCTCCACTAGGTGGCAGAATATCAACATTCATCATTCGTGGAAGGCATGTCTCTTAGAGCAAGTAAAATAAGTAAAATAAGTCCCCGAGGGACTATGGTCAGTGCGACTTGAGAAGGGCAAACCTACAATTAAAAACTAACCCAAATAAAGAAAGTGGTGCCCTGAAATTCCAGCCTCAGTTAGATCGGTGTCTGATTCAAGGCTTTGAAAGGTAGATATTGTTGGATGAATTCCCAAAGCAACATGGGGAACCTGTTTGAGAGAAGCAGGTGGAGTCTGTTTGCAAGAAATTACTGGGTGCCATTTTCCCATGCCTGGGGTAATCTGAAGTCATAGGAGATGACTAGGAGGTGGAGGAATGGCAAAGGGCCGGGGAAAACCCAAGCAATCACCTGAACCAGGTAGAACTTGAGAAAGGTCATTGTGATCCAGTAGGCAGTTTGGGGATGGAATCTTTCAGGATCATTTGGTATTCTTTTTGGTGATGTTTGTATCATTGGACAAAACCTATCAGCTGAGGACTCATCAACTCCATTGTTAAAGGATGGGAAGAATGGGGCATTTATTCCCTGGCTTCCATCCCTAATTGGTTGAGAGTTCACTCTAGGTTATTAATTCCACTATACTTGCAAGGAGTTAGATGCAGGCATTCCAGGCAGGAATTTTTTGGCATGTTTGAAACGTTCGACCACCCCTATTGATGAACTCAGGTGGGCAGATGAGATATGGGATGGGGGCATCCACATGACTGCTATAACAGTGCTTCTGGGGGCTTGTGGGTATATACAAATCACCTAAGGATTGTTAAAATGCAGATGTTCATCATGTAGCTCGTGAATAATGACTGAGATTCTGAACTTTTAACAAACTCCAAGGTGATGTTCATGCTGCTGGCCCATGGACCACATTTTGAAAAGTAAGGGCTACACTATTTTTTAAATCAGTTCTATGATTCCTTTCATCATCCTACATTATTAATCCTAAACAACACTAGGGACACCAGGATCCCTGAAATTTGGTCTTACTCTCTCTGAACCTTAATGTCTTCATCTTCAAAATGGGGGTGGGGGCTGGGATTACATGACCTCTTCCTAATTGGAGTGGTGGATGGGAGGAAAGGCCTTTTAAACATGGCACTTCAGTATTTAGAAAACATGAAGGTTTAGAAAAAAAATAAACCTGTAAAAAGTAAAGAATATCCACAGAAGGCAACTCCAATTCCTAAAAGGGTCATACCTCCTAAGAGTGGGGAAGGTATTCTAGTTGCCACAGAGGTAGCCTAGAGATTTTCACTTTTATATAAAGGAAGATATTGGTTCTAAAAGTTTGAGAAAAATCTGTATTTTGATGATCTGTAAGACCTCATCTAGATCTAATATCTTTCTACCGCATTTAAAAAAAAATCTATTATATTATTATATCAAATTGCTGATGTCTGTCTTTCCTACTGGCCTAGAATCTTCTCTAGCCAGGGATTCATCTCTATTCCTTTCATTCGCTATAGTGCCTGGCTCATAGTAGATGCTTAGTAAATTCTTTAATGTGCAAATAAGCCTATAAATTTCTTACAGCTCTAAAAATATCATGACAGTGGCTTTTTGGGGAAGGGTCTTTCAAGACATTTTCTGACCTATATGGTACTATAACTCCTTTGAAGTTTTATTGTAACAAAATTCTAGCCACATACAACTTCATGTCCGGTATTTAATAACCCTATTAGTTAATGTTTTTTGCTCCAGAGCAAATACCATTTAGGGACATCCCAGTGACAATTCTTTGGCAGAAGGAATGGTTGAAAATGGTGCTTTGGAGCAAGAAACATCTGTGCTGGTTTGCCATGGAAGAGGAGCCTGTGGAGTACATTTGGATGGGCTCTGCCTGATTGAGCTTGCCAGGGAGAGGCGGAGGTACCACTAATTACATGTCTTGCATTATGGGTTGGAAATAGATACACAGAGCAAATGCTCTGGCCCATATAGCCCCCAAACACAATGAAAGCAACACAGACTTTAATTCCATTTTCAAAATTCCCAGCATTTCAGTGCAGAGCCAGCCATACAATTTTTCCTTTCTTTCACGTGGCACTTAGGATATGAGTGAGTGAACCAACTGAGTATCTGGAAGTCTATTTGCAAATTCAGGGGAAAAACACAGTGGGAAGAATATATAGAAAGTGACAATGTTCACCCATTTTTTACTGGAGATATTTAATTGGGAACTCCCTTAGGTTTTGGGTGTCCTTGAAACAGGTCGGCACCATTGCTTGACTTTATATAAACTGGATTGCATTCAGTTGAAATTGCCCTTCTCCAGGTAGGTTTTAGTTATATGACATCCAAAGAGACCTTTCTAAAAGTGAGGAAAGTAGTAGTAGAAGCAGCAGGCACAATGAGAGGCCCAAATGGGCAGTGAGTGGGATCAAAGCAGAGCTGTGTCCCATGGTTCAAAAGATGAATTCTATAATTCATTGTTCTATAATTACAGGAAGGGAAGGTCAGCTTAGTAGCAGCTCATTAAGATACAATCTAGTAGGATTTGGGCAAGCTCAAGAAAAACCAGTAATGGGATGCAGGTGCCCAGTAGGTAAATATCTGTGGCAGAAATAGTTGCACTACTTTCCCCAGCCTTCTTTGCAGTTAGGTATGGCCATGTGACTGAGTTCTAGCCAGCAAAAGTGAGGTGCTCTGCTGGGCATAGTGGTGCACACCTGTAATCCTAGCAGCTTGGGAGGCTGAGGCAGTAGAATTGCAAGTTCAAAGCCAGCTTCAGCAATGGCGAGGTGCTTAGCAACTCAGTGAGATCCTGTCTCTAAATAAAACACAAAATAGGGCTGGGGATGTGGCTCAGTGGTTGAGTGCCCCTCAGTTCAATCCTTAGTACCCCTCCCAAATGAGGTGCTCTATTTCCATGTCTGACCCATAAGTAGGCTTCTATGTGATCCTCCATATTCTTTCCCCTTCTGGCTTGACACAAATAAAAAGGGTGACTTTAGAAGCTGTGTGTTGAATATAGCAGAGCCACAAGATGGAAGGGGCCTGTGTCACTGAATCACTGCATCACTGCATAGAGGAGAGCCCTTTGCCAGTTGGGTTTTTATGTGGGAAATAAACCTTTGTTGTATAAAGGTGGTGAGATGTTGGGGTTTATCTGTTATAGCAGCTTTTATTAATTAGATATATAGATTTGGCTATATTAATAGAGGGATTATAGAACAAACACAAGGTATGTTATGTGATTCCCTTCTGGACATTATTCTATAGAAAGGACTTTGTCAAATGGAAGCATGCATACAAATGAAAGATAAGAGTAATGAGGAGGGGAGAAATGACATATGGGGAGAATATAAGCAAGGGGGCTCAGCTTAAAGAAGGGAAAACTTTGGGGTAGAATAAGAACATACCATATCTTTAAAGTTTTGAAAAAAAGTTATGTTATAAGGAAGAAGGTTTAGTCTTATGCTGTAGAGTTTCAAAAAGAAGATCAGGGAGCAAGATTTGGGCTCAGTATAAATAAGAACTTTTTAATAATAAGCACTTTCCCAAAGTGGAATGGCCTTTCTTAAAGCCTCCTCCATCTTCATTGGATAATGTTGATTTACCAGACAGTATCCATTTTTCTCCTTCTCTGGCTACAGAAACCCAATTTTATGGACATATTGTCCTTTTGTGATTATGAGAGAGGAGACCCCATTCCCAGTTTAAGGGACGGATTATGATTAGTCCAAGCCCTTTAGCACATGGCACTGTTTTAGTTACTGGTTCAGAGATTGATACATAGACTAAGTTGGCCCAATCATACTTAAATATCTTGTATTTCATGGTTGGAGGAAAGGTTTTACCTTTCTCCTACTGGACTTGTATCAGGACACATTAGTCTTGACTGTCACTGGCAGGTATCTTGTGGCCATGAAGGGAACCACCCTTAGGATGAAACCAGCAGATGGGAGAGAAAAAAAATCTGCCCATTAAGCTGCTGATCACCCTATGCCGAAATCTCCTCTCCCTCTGAATTTCACTTTGCATTGAGTTTTCCATTATGTCTAGCTTTAAACATTTAACTAATACACTGATCTTGAGGATGAAAGATCCCTGAAGACCCCAACCACTCGAGACATGACAGTGAGGGAGCACACCAGGTTGTCCAGAGATCAATGTATTCAGCACAGGCTACAGTAGAAGTGGAAGTGTCTGCAGCTGCAGCAGTGTTTTCAGGGACTTAAATCACTCCTATGGGAAGTGTGTGTGGTTCTGATTGGCATGCCTGTTGTCAGTTTCCTATTGGGCTCCTGGGCCAGTGATGGCCCTTTGGTGGACTCTTTTGGCAGGCCCCTTTTCTCAAACAGGAAGAAGACCCCAGAAGCCTAGAGCCAAAAGCCCTAGGGGCAGTCGCCATTGTTGGGCGGTGGCCTGGCCCTGTTCTGGCTTCCTGCCCAACAGAGGATGTTTGTGAATACAGGTAGAATACTACCTTGCCATCAGAGTTGTCAAATGTGAATTCTATCCTGGGCAGCAGATGGACCTCTCAGGGCACATCTGACCTTGAGAATTATAAATTCTGGTGAAGGAGGTACAGCTAACTTAATTTAAATGAAAATACAGGCTTCCTTATCAGTCTCTGGAAATACATTTTGTAACAAACATGTATTGGCTTTAGGCTGTCAGATATCCGACCTACTCCCTTCCTGCTCCTTTTTATCTTTGCCCACTGAAGACTTGGACTCCCTCTTGCAGAGAGTAAAATTATTGATTGGAAACAGCTGCCTACCAGGAATTATATTTCCCATGTCTTGTACATGTAGTTGAGGCCAGAGGACTTACTCTTGCCCATGGGAGCAATAATGTCTTATGTCACATCTGGGTCAAGAAGCTCAAGCAGTTGGTGTTTCTTCCTGCTCCTCTTCATTGTCTTTATTCATCTTCCAGCAGAATGCAAAGGATTACAAGGTCCAATAAGAGGGTGGAGTCACAGTATGGAGGAATTCTGGGCTGCAGGTAATCATATGGGAGGTTAATCACCAACCAGGAATTCTGGCGTTGGACAGTTACATGACTAAGAACTGTTCTTCTATTGTGTTAAACCATTAGACCTTGGGACTTGTTTGCCATTGTAATTAGCATGTGCTAATACATCTCCATTGTGAATGTCTTAGTAGGAGGGCAATATCGGTCTCAACTCCTGCGAATGATCTCATTACAGAAGCCAGAGGGGAACTGTTTCTCCTTCTTTATGCCCCCTGGTATAGCCAAGATGTAAATAGCCAATTAGACACTTGTTCCTGGGATACTGAATCTTTTTATTAAATGTATCTGTTCTTTTTAATTATACATGACAGTAGAATGTATTTTGACATATCATACATATATGGAGTATAACTTCCATCTTTTTGTGGTTGTACATGATGTGGAGACACACTGTTTGTGTATTCAAATATGTACGCAGGAAAGTTATGTCAAGTCTTTGTATTGTCTTTCCCATTCCCATCCTATTCCCTTCCCTCTGCCTCTACCCCCGCATCCAATCTGGTGAACCTCCCCCCATCATTGTGAGTTAGCATACACATATCAGAGAGAACATTTGGTCTTTGGTTTTTTGGAATTGGTTTATTTCACTTAGCATGAGTTCCATCCATTTACTGGCAAATGCCATAATTTCATTCTTTGTGGCTGAGTTATATTCCATTGTGTATATGTACCACATTTTCTTTATCCATTCATCTGTTGATGGGCATTTAGGTTGGTTCTGTAGCTTGGCTATTGTGAATTGAGCTGCTATAAACTTTCATGTGGCCTTGTCACTATAGAATGCTAATTTTAAGTCCTTTGGGTGTATAACAAGGAGTGGGATAACTGGGTCAAATGGTGGTTCCATTCTAAGTTTTATGAGGAATCTCTATACTGCTTTCCAGAGTGGTTGCACCAATTTGCAATCCCACCAGCAATGTATGAGTGTACCTTTCCCCCACATCCTCACCAACATTTTTTATTACTTGTATTCTTGATAATTGCCATTCTGACTGGAGTAAGATAAAATCTCAGTGTAGTTTTAATTTGCATTTCTCTTACTGCCAGTGATGTTGAACATTTTTTCATATATTTGTTAACTGACTGTTATGGTTTGGATGTGAGCTATCCCCAAAAGCTCATGTATGGGACAATGCAAGAAGGTTCACAGGAGAAATGATTGGGTTATAGCCTTAAACTAATCAATGAATTAATCCCTGGTGGGATTAACTGGTAACTGAGGGCAGGTGGGGTGTGGCTAGAGGAAGTGATTCATTGAGAGGGAGTGGCTCTGGGGTTTATATATTGTATCTGGCAGGTGGAGTCATTCTCTGCTTTCTGATCACCATATGAGCTGCTTCCCTCTGCCACACTCTTCCCCCATGATGTTCTGCCTCACCCTGGGCCCTAAGGAATGGAGCCTGCCTTTTATGGACTAAGACCTCTAAAACTTTGAGTCCTCTAATAAGCTTTTCCTCCCATAAAACTGTTCTGGTCAGATCCTTTAGTTGAAGCAGCAAAAAAGCTGATTAAAACACAGATCATATTTCTTCTACTGTGAAGTGTCTGTTTAGTTCCTTTGCCCATTTATTGATTGGGTTATTATTTTTTTCTGGTGTTAAGTTTTTTGAGTTCTTCATATATCCTGGAGATTAACACTGTATCTTAGGTGCAGATGGCAAAGGTTTTCTGGGATTCTGAATCTTAAACAAGGAGTACCAATGTATAGGGAGTATCAGAATTAAATATTTAGCAGGGAACAGAAACTTAAGGAAAATATGATACCTGTGGCAGTCAGGCTGTGGCTATGGTTTCTGCCGCTTTAGGAGAACCCTTGGGTCCTACAAGTTGTCCAAGTCTTGTCCTCCACCTTCTGATTCATTCTCTTAGCTCCTGATAGCCTGATAATTAATTCTTCCTTTGCTTAAAAAAATCAGTTTTTTTTCCTTGAAATCATTTGATGGTGTTTTAATTATTTTTCATAAAAGAGACCCATCTCAAACTCATTTTGTTTAATAAGTGACGATTTTTCCCTTTCAAAATTCTCTATTTGACTCTGACCTGCTATCTTAGGTTCATGATCTAATAGTGATTGAGGTGGGCGCCACTCAATTTCCTCTTTTCATTGACTGCCTGTTCAGATAATAAAGAAGTTATTTATTTTTTCCTCCTGTCAACAGTTTGGCCTCTCTCCTCTAGCTTTCAGCCATCCTTTTCCTCTCTTGCCTTACTTAGATTGTTCACACCTGTGCATTTTTGTGGCATTTCTATTTGTTAACCATTTCTAGCACTGAGTATCCAATTAGTAATCTGTAATGTTTTTCTGACAGGGAAAGGGTGGAGTGGACAGAGAGCACTAGGCCCATTGTCCCAGAGACTTGTTTCTGTTACTTAAGAGATGCATGACCTTGGGCTGATCATTGAACTCTCCAGAAACTTGTTCTGCAAATGACAGCAGCTAATTAAAAGTCACATGGCTAGAGAAATACAGTTGGAGGGAAGGTAGGAAAGTATGGATGTAGGAAATCCATAGCCTCGCTTGGAAGTCAGGCTGTGAGAGCCAGAAATCAGGGAGGGACTGACTGTTCAATATTGGTGCATGGAGACTACCACCAGCTGATGAGAACCACACAATTCATTTTTTCTTTTTCAGCTGGTTTTACACTTTTGATTCATCCTTGAATACCTTCTTTGAAGTGAATTCAGACAGAGCAGTGGTCCTGCCTCACTGTTCTATCCACCATTCACGTATCATAAACCCGGCTGCCACCTTTTACATTACTCAATTTAATTTCTCTACTTGGAATTCTGCAGTATCTCTGCTTAGCTGTTTATGTTTGGGATTGAGCTGCATTAGAAGCTCCATTCCACTTCCCAGGGATATCCTGGGGACTACACTTCATGACCTCCAGCCCTGGGCCTCAGTTTTATCTGTAAAGTGAGGTGGCTTTACTGAAGGTCTCAAGGTTCCTTCCCAGCCTACTGTGATGGTCAAAGATGATCTTGTGACTCCTGAACATCAGCTTAGATTTTGAATGGAGTTAGTTCAACCTCCTCTGCTTTCTCTTTTGGCTAATGAACCAACCTAGGCTGATTTTTGGTACATTGGGTACATGGTTTTAACAAATTGGCCACAAACTGGGCCTCCTTCACGAGCCCCCAAGAGGTGAACACTCACCGTCCAGCTCCTTTTTGTCTTCTCACTGTTCCTTCTCTTCAGTGGCTTCATGTATACTTCTGCCTTATCCTTTTCCTTCCCCAAAGCCAGGAAAGAACACTTCTGCCTGGAGTTTTTCTCTCCTTGAAAACCTTCTCCCCCTCCCATCACTGGGGTGGAGCTTGTTGTCTTGGTAACCTGTGGCTGAAGGCTCTGAGATCCACAATAAATCCAGCCAAATAGACTCACATGGGTGGCCACACAAGGTCAGGACAGAACATTTCTTCCAACCTGGAGATTTGCTAATAGGGAACGGTCTTTAGCTGCTCTGATAATTTGTTACAAAATTTCCCTTTTGTTTTCTTGCAGGTCACTTGACAAAATAAGAGAGGACTAGGGCCAATTCAGTTCACTTTGTTAACATTTTCTAATGTTTTTACAGATAGATGCATCTATTGTAGGCCATATTTTGATTTTGAAAATATTATTTTCTCTTCTAAAGCATATTCTCTGAGACTTTCAACTTGAGCCAAGAGGGATAAAAAGGCAGGGAACACAAGCTTAAATAACTAATGATATTCTGGACAGTATCCCTTCCCAGCATACCTATAAACATGCAGCACCTACTTTCCCCCTTATCTACCTTTTCATAGAATCGAGTGAACTGTAAAGAAAAAAAAGCAATGTGCCTTGCAGAGTTTGGAAAATGTTGGGATAAGTCTGCCTTTTTGATTATTCTACAAAGGTCCAAGGCCAAGTAGAGAAGTGGTTGGTTAAGGACAATATGGTGCCACAGGGAGGTGGATGTTTATTGAATGACTAAGCCAGGCCAGTTCTTTCAAGTGGAGCCTTTGATAATAGAAAATAAGGAGGTTTAGAATGCAGGAATGCCAGCACTTTGGGTGCCACCATGAAACAAGAAGAGCAGCTGGGGCCCCCAGAATGCAGGCAAGCTCTTCATCTGAGGCTTGGAATAAAAGGAGCATGGCCGACTGAGACAAAGCAGAAAGGAGCCACGTACACAAGGAGCTGTGGCTGGGCTGTCAGGCTGGATTTGTGTCTGCCTGAGCTGTTCTAAAAAGATCTTCCTTTCCTGAATCACTAAGACCACAGACAATAGAGGAACAGAGTGGGGACGCTCCCTGTGCTAAGCAACAGATTGGAGATATGGGAGTGGGAATCTCAGTTCTGTTACTGATAACCACCATTAAACAGAAGCCTCCTGGCCTCAGCTTCCTTGGCTACTGGGGTGTTGCGATGAAGAGTCCAGGCATTCTTGGAGATGGCCCAAGACAATAAATCACCACTGCAACTGCTCCCCGCTTTTGGGTACAAGCCACCATCAGCTGTCACTGGGATTTTAGTGGTAGCCTTCTACTTGGTCTTTTTGCTTTCACTCCTACCTATCAATACCTTATTTTCTACCTGCACCAAGGCCAGAGTGATCCTCTTAAAATACAAGTCAAATTAGATGTTCCTCCTCTGAACTCAAAACCCTTTAGCAGCTTCCTAATATTCTTACTATAACCTTCAAGGCCCTATACCATCTGCCCCCCATCCCCATTACTTCTCTAACCTCATCAATAATTTCTCCTGCTCTTTTACTTTGTTACAGGCATACTGGCCTCCCTGCTTAAATGTGTCATTTCTATTCACTTCTCAGACCTTCTGTACTTGCTTTCCCTTCTGCCTGGAATAATCTTTTACCACTTACCTACATTACTTGTTGCTTTACCTCCTTCAGATCTTTCTGTATATACCATCTTCCCAATGAGGCCTTCCCTGGTCACCTTATTGAAAATTGCATCTCATCTGTGTTTGTGAGCTAATGCCAGAATTAGGCCTTGTATTGACCACCCCCAAACTTGATGACTAACAACAGGCATTTATTTCCATACTCATGAGTTCCACTGAGGTTTGATTTATATATAAGATGAGTTCAGCTGTGGTTACATATGCTTTAGGTGGTAGGTTGGGTTCACGTCTACCCAGTGTGTTTTTGTTGAGGCCTTGAATGAAGGGCAGTAGCTGTCTGGGGTATGCTTTTCTTGTGCTCTATCATAAAAACTCAAGATCCAAGCTAAACACTATAAGAAATTTATGATTTTTGCATCACATCACTGAAATCCTGTTGGTCAAAGTAAATCATATGACCAAAGCTCAACTTTTATGAGGCAGAGAACTAAATTCTGCCCACACTGGGAGGGGGAAGGTAAAGAATACTTGCTTAACAATCATTCAAAGTAACACACATACACTACTATCTCCCACCCATCTTCATGTCTTTCCCCTATGTTTTGTCTTTCTCCTTAGGGTTTATCACCACCCTAAATATGACATATTGTATTTGCTCATTTTGTTTATTGTCTATCTCACTGGTTATAGTGAAGACTCACAGGGGAGTTTTGTTTGTTTTGTTTACTTCTGTGTCAGTAAGACCTTGAACAATGCCTGACACATAGTGGATGCTGAACAAACATTTATTGAATGACAGAATAAATAAATCCACCTATTTCCATTGAGGACTCATTAAAGGAAGTTCAGAAATGAGTTCTGGTATCTTAGGGACATAATCTCTGCAAACAAATGGTCTTATCATTATATTTCCCACACCGGTCTCTCTAATACCACCATCATGAATATCATTATCATCACCATCACTATCATCATCACTATTACTATTACCATCATAATCTCCATTAACATCACCACCACCACCACCACCATCACCATTTTCTCACTATCATCATCACCATCATCATCATCATCATCATCATCATCATCATCATCATCATCATTTCCTCCACCACATCACCACCAGCACTACCACAATCACCACAACCTCTAGCATCACCACATCACCAGTCCATTTCTACCACCATAGTTCCATTCCACCAATACTCTCATTACAGTTACCCCCTCTACCACATCACTGTCACCAGTCATTACCACCCCATGCCTACCATTATCACCTCATCATTTTCACTTCCATTACTACCATCACCACCATTACCATCACTCTTACCATTATCTCCCTTAGACATTCATGAAGACAGTAAAAGGCCTATATGTTGACAGTCTCCACATAGCTCTCAACAAAATAATTGCAGTGCAGGAAGCAGAAGAAATGACCATTTTGTTCTAATGGGCTAACTGCAATGGTGAGGGGGGGCGGAACCTTGATCCAAGAAAATTTTCTTAAGGGCTGCAGAGTATATCTATAACAATTATACAATGATACTACAACCTCAGAAATGCTACCTACTCTTTTGGAGGTCTGCAGAGATTGTCAAACCTCCCATTTCACCTCCTAAGTGGTGCTGAAATTTTCTCCACCTCTTCTTTCCTTTATCCTTTTAGAGGGGAAAAAAAATTGTTTACGAAGTCATTTCTTTCACCATTTAAAGTCCATTACCTCTTGTTGCATAATAATGGACCATGTGACTTCTTGATTAATCTTTTCCATCCTGAAATAAAATCTTTTCCTGAATTGCTGCTGCTTCTTCAGTTCTTTCTAAACACTGACTGACAAAAATGTGTGGGTGCTGGAAGGCCCCCAAATACCAGGGGTAAGAATAAAGCCCTTTAAATCTCCACTCCAGATCAGTTTCCCATGCTTACACAGCAAGGCAGTATAATCTTTCTCCCCAGTTCTCCTTTTTTTTAAAAAAAACTTTCCTCTTTAAGGCCAGATTACCTTAATTTTATCTGGCCTGTGACTCTGAACTCATTTGATAAATCTACTTATTTATTTTTGCTGAAGGCATCAAGTGTATTGCTTTGAAATATGGAAATCTTCATGATATTCTACAAAAAAGATCTCCCTCAAAATATTATACCATAGGCTGGGGAAGGGTCTGCTGAGGATGGCATAAAGAAGGAAAATTCTATTTAATTCTTAAAAACAATTTTTCTTTGAAGGGAAGAAATTGCCACTGTTTGGCTTTGGTCCCGAACCTGCTATTATGATGAAATACCAAGAGTACAGTTTATACTGTATACCTGATGGCAACCCATCTGATTTTGATTCCATCAAATACAAAGAAAAATCTGTATTGCTGTGGGAGGGGGATGGTTAAAAAAGGAATGTTAGAGCTTCCAGAGAAGCTTTTTTTTTTTTTTTTTTTTTTTTTTTTTTTTTTTTGTGGGCATGAGAGAATGTTCCACAAGCAGAGGTAGAAATGGAGGAAAAGGCCTACATGTTAAGAAGCAAATAAAGAGACATTTATGTGATGATACCCAGACAGTTATGTGATTGAGGTCTGGTGTCTGTTGTGGGTGTGGGACATAAGAAGACACTGCATATCTCCAGGGCTGAAGTCAAGGGACATCTCAGCCCTGGCTGTTGACTCAAAACCCACTAGGTCAAATCTGCATCTGATTTTTTTCCCAATCATTCTCCCATTCCTCTAAATTATTCCCATTTCTGGTTGGTTTTGGGGCTAGACTGACTTGGGGAAACTCCAGGCTAGCCTGCTCTCTGTTGAGGGGAAGTGGGAGCCATCTCCTTCACAGGAATCCAAAAGCCATCCCTAAGTGAAAGGAGTTTCAGGTAGTGGAAACCCTGAGCTGTAACTCTGCCAATGAAGCTGGGGGAGCAGCTGGTCTGTGCCAAGGGGACCTCTGCTGAGCTCAGTGTTTTGCTGTGTGAGGCAGGACAACCTCTCAGCAGGGAGGCTGGGATTTGAACTTGGGATGCGCTCAGTTGTTAAAAGACATTGGAAGCAGACACTTCCTGCAAAGGGATTCAGTTTCAACTAAACAGTGTTCAGTTTACAGTTACTTTGGACCCAAAGAGGGAATTTTTGTCTGCTTGAATGGTAACAAGATCTCTGAGTAGGAATGCACAGATATTTGTAGAGGAGTGGGAAGGAGAGGAGCAGAGAAATAGGAGTGTCTTGTGGGTGAGGCTGTGGCCCTAGCTCCTTATCCTGCAGACTTCCTTAGTGAAAACAGCTCAGAAGTGGACCTGGACTCCAACAGGCATTGGATGTTTTATGGACTGTCTTGAGAAGGGTACAGCTGAAACAGAGGTTAGACTGTTGCCTGTCATGCTCCCCAGGAGCAGAGACTGATGCAGAGATTCAAGAGCAGAGATTTTAATAGGGGTGCTTTCAGAACCAACACCTGTGAAAGAAAAGAAAGGATTAGG